AATGGAATTGATAGAAACTGCAAAACACAGCTTTTACAGCATACCTCTAACAGCCTGGGTGCGTTCCGTCGAGTATAAGCAGAATTGCACGTAGCTTTCGATAAAAAAAGTTCGAACTAGACAATTCCAAGTGGGGGATCTCGTCCTCAAATGAGCAGACGCTCTCAAGCATGTCAGGAAGCTTGAAGCTAATTGGGAAGGACCCTACACTGTCACAAAAGTGCTCGAGAGAGGCACATATGAACTCGAGGATGGGGAAGGTCGACAGCTGCCGCGGTCTTGGCACGTGATCCACCTGAAACATTTTTATGCTTAAGGCAATATTTCAAACTCCTTTTTGTACTGAACAATGTTCAAATCGAATTCAGTAATGAAATGAATCTCAATATGCTTCAATTATGTCTTTTACATTTCTATGTCGACTTTATTATGATTACTTTAAAAATCGAATTTTTCAAGACGACTATGTAGCCGACTAACTCCAACGACTACGAAGTCGATTTAAAACAACTACGAAGTTGTATTTCGAGTGGAATCTCAACTAAGCCACGAAGCTTGCGACTACGAAGTCAACTTAAACAACTACGAAGTTGTATTTCGAATGGAATATCGACTAAGTTATGAAGCTTACGACTACAAAGTCAACTTAAACAACTACGAAGTTGTATTTCGAGTGGAATGTCGACTAAGCTACGAAGCTTATGACTACGAAGTCAACTTAAACAACTACGAAGTTGTATTTTGAGTGGAATCTCGACTAAGCTACGAAGCTTACGACTACAAAGTCAACTTAAACAACTATGAAGTTGTATTTCAAGTGAAATCTCGACTAAGCTACGAAGCTTACGACTACAAAGTCAACTTAAACAACTACGAAGTTGTATTTCGAGTGGAATCTCGACTATGCTACGAAGCTTACGACTATGACGTCGACTTAAGTAACCACGACGTTAAAATCCCTAGGATGGAATCTCGACTAGCCCACGAGGCCCACGATCATGCAGTCGAATTACGGATAACTAAGAAATCATGCACGCCAATTAGAATCCTCAACCATAATACGAGATTACTACATTTCTAAAATCCTGATTTACCAGCTATGAAGCTGTTAAAATCGTTGCTCGACTTCGACCAGATCGCAAAACGAGTGAGAGAAGACGAGTTGAAAAGCTTTCGTTTACCAGCTATGAAGCTGTCAAAATCATTGCTCGACTTCGACCAGCTCGCAAAACGGGTGGGAGAAGACGAGTTGAAAAACTTTCATTTACCAGCTATGAAGTTGTCAAAATTGTTGCTCGACTTCGACCAGCTCGCAAAGCGGGTGGGAGAAGACAAGTTGAAAAACTTTCGTTTACCAGCTATGAACCTGTTAAAATCGTTGCACGACTTCGACCAACTTGCAATCCGGGTGCGAGAAAGGATATAAGACATGATAAAACAGGTTGAAATACTCGGAAAAATTCAGTACAAATGTTCACATGAACGTCAAAAGCACTCGTAGACAGAAACAACCGAAAAACAAAACGCAAAACATTGATAACCGCGAGAACAAAAGAAGGATATTGCATTAATAAGTTGGTTACATGATAGACCGTCTCGACCTTTAGAAGATGATAAACGAAGGTCGAGACCAAAAAGCAACAAAAAGTACCAACTATCAAAGCAAAACAACATAAGCTAAGAGTCAGCAGTAGATTTTTCAGCAGAATTGTCATCCCCGTCACCAACCGGCTCAGTCCCAGCACCATCCCCTTCTCCAACCGGTTTCGTGCCCTGCCGCTCGACGTCTATCTTCTAATCAACCGGCTCCTCTTCCTCGTAATTAGCCCCACTTGGCCCGATTAGTTCGATCGAACCGGCCAAGGGGGATGGAGGGACCTCGAGTTGAGAAGAAAGCTCGGCCGAATGAATGGCCTTCTCCTCGAGGCCAACCCACCAGGCGTAGTCAGGAGGAAGATCCACATCACCATGGAAACTGTCAGGGTCGGGGAGGGTCTTCTTTACTGCTGCCCGATCGATTTTCCCAGAGAAGTCTGGCTTAGCCGCAGCCCGCTCGCACACGTCACAAGCGAAATTGAAATATTGAATCGCTGCGGGGCACAGCCTGTCGAGGAAGTCGGGCGAGTCACAGAACGCCTCGACCACAGCCTTGCGGTAATGGTCGAGAAATATTGCACCCGTCGAGGACTTCAAGAAGGTCCTCCGGCCTTCTTGAAGCCCGTTTTCCCTCTCGACCATGGCCTCGTCGGCGGCCTTGGCCAAGTCGGCCTTCAGCTTCTCGACTCTCCAGGAAGCAGCCTCCTTCTCGGACCAGAGCTTGGCGATGACGACATTGGCAGTCTCGAGCTCCTCTTTCTTCTCCTCGAGATCCTTACACTTAGCCGTGTACCTCTCCCCCAAAACTTTAACATTGGTCTGGGGAGAGGTGGCCTCTTCGATCATGGAAGGAAGGATACATGCGAGGAGCTGCACAAGATGACGAGAAGGTCAATTAAGAGTCCCGGGGAATGAGTCGAGCAGCATAGCGGACCTGATGATAAGGGTTACCATCGGTCCGAGCCCTATCGTCCTTAGGGAGAGTCAAGTGAAGGTATTCAACAATTTGGAGGGGGTTGGGGTTGTCGTAAAGCCGAGAAGGCTGCTCCAAAGTCACGGAGCGCACCTTCACGGGGGACGACTGCCCCGCGTTCTTCTCGACCGCAGGCTCCTTCCCCTTTCGATGTTTTAGGGAGACGGGCACTAGGGTCATGTCCCGTTGATCCTGGGCTCTTTTGCGAGAGTGTGAGCCTGACGGTTGACTCAGCTTAGCAGCCGAGAGAAGCACCACCTTAGACTTTTTGGCGGCAATCGTCTCGACTGCCGCAGCCTTTTAACCAGAACCTGAACTGTCTTTAGGTTCTTCGGGGGAGCGGGATGAGCGGCGGACTTGTCATCCGCCTTACCTTTCTTGGTCTCGAAACGGGCTAAGGCCTTCACTGTCGACATGGAGAGAAATAATCAATAAAAAAAGATGGAAGGGAGAGAACAAACATATATATACGTATCAAACAATAGATTTATAGCATGGAAGAAAGCTTACGAGGATCATTGACTCGAGGAGCACTCTTGTTGGTACAAATTCCTACATGATTAAGGAGAGGGTTATCCTTAGTTAGTCAACGAGCACTCCGGGTGGAAAAACAGAAAAAGGAAGGGAACAAGAATTAGCCCAACCTTGGTTTCAGCTATTGTGATCTTTTCCGCAACGTGCTTATTCAACTCTTCCAACATATCCGCAAACTGCGTGGAGCGAGGGCGTTTGCACTGTTTCACCTTGCTGGTAATCCAAACGTTGGTAAAAGGGTATTGGCCAGGAGTAGGTCGGATAAAGAAGTATTTTCTCTTCCACTCGGTAACATTGGAGGAAAGATCGTTGAGGAAAGATACCCAAGACGACGATGACCTAGATAGTGGGCATCCTTAGCAAACATATACCCGTAGCAGTAAAGAAAAAAACTCGGCACAAAAATACCTAGAATTATTTGGGAGACAACTATGAAAGCCACCATTGTTCGGATAGAGTTAGGGGTGAATTGGTTTATGGGTACATCATACAGGTTGCTCAGCAAAAGCAGCTCATGTTGGATAGGAAAGCGCAAACCAGACATGATCTGATCGACAAAGAAAGTAAAACAACTGGGGGAGGATGCTTGAAGTCGTCGCTAAGTTTGGGACCGACCAATTTCTAGTCAGAGGGAAGTCCACTGTACTCCCTGAAGCCATCAATTTTGGCTGTAAGGGCATAACAATAGGGGTTAAGAACAGCTAACTTTGTTGAAAGACAGGCTAATGTTACAACATTACGAGGCTCGATTGAGGGAGCTATTATTAATAAATGTACAGGACTTGTTCTATACACAGGAATGTCCAAAAGCCTAAGGGGAATACCTCGAGGAATTAAATTGAGTCGAGGAGACTCTGGGACACGAGAAGAAGTCTCAGGGTTATCATTCAAAGTACCCGACAACAATGCCTGATTATATTCATCCCAATCAATCCCGAAAGATGAGGCAGTGGAATGAGGAGAGTTCTCTGGCTCGACATTCGGATCAACACTCGACCCGACAGCGATTATTTGTACAGAATCGGAACTCGAATAGTCATCAATTTGACGAGCGAGGGATCCGAAAACAGGGTCGGAGTCGGAATCCCAAAAATAAGGAAAAGGCAGTCAACAGGTGAGGACAATTATAGCCACGATTCGGCTCCAGGAGAAGAAATAAAACAGTGAAGAAGCGAAGTGAGCATGCGAGTCATCCCTAGTTCAACTCGACTCGACAGAAAGACAAAATAAGGAAGGAAAATCCCAGATGACCCAGGCACAAGGATGTCTAGTCGACCCAAAAAAGCCCAGAAGAGTCGATTTCTCATACTAAATCGACTGACGAACAAAGCACTTAGAAAAACGAGATATCCACGTTGAAGATCTAACGAAGAAAAGTCACTGGAAATCATTTAAAGAATACCAGAAAACATGAAGAACACTTATGAACTCCAAACGCAGAGCCCAGAAAAGTAGAAAATTTGCAGAAACAAATAGA